ACCTCCCTCCCCTCCCTCTCTCTACACACACACACACACACACACACATATATATATATATATATATATCTATCTCTTGGGTTGTATTTTAATTTGTGCACCATGTGGTGTTTTTACATTATTGCATCTTGAAATAGTCAATGGCTTCTCATTTAACAAGTTATGATGATACATGTGCAGCCACCCGATCTAGGAGCTAAAATAATCTATTTGGCCTATGTTATTCAGAAAGGTTGAGGGCTTCAATGGGTAGTTCTAAATTTACAACATAATATCACCTGAAAATGTCGAGACCACAATTTTTTTTCTGCTGAAGAGTTGTGTAGAGGTTCTCTATACCAATCTTCCTTGCTACCATATTATTATTGTCCTTGAGTCCATTACATGTCAGTGGTTACAAGTTCCAGCATATTCCTAGAATCTTAATAATCTTGGGTTCTCTGAGCGTATTTGTTCTCCAGAGCTGATTGTGTGCTCCTTCTGCATATGATATGTTTTATTTTGAGTAGAAATGGTAGTTTATACATATATGCAATGGTGAAAAGCTGTCCGTGTGACAATAAAAAAAACAAAAAAAAAGGTGTTCACATGTATCTAGTCCTTCCCCCCGTTCCATGGTGTGCCCAGTTAGAAACTAGCTATTTACTATTTGATTGTGGCATCTTTTACCTTATTTAATGTGATGCGGGTTTCCCTATGTTACACCATGTGATTCTCAAACATCTGGATTTCAGATTTCATGTTTTTGTGATATTGCTTGCCAATGGGTCATCAATGTAAGAATTTGCTGGGGCACCACCCCAAAGAGGAGAACACGAAGCATGAAACTCTTCAAGGTGATGTATGAAATGTTCTCTATGAAACGTTCTCTTTGGCTTTTGACTTCAAAGTTAGAGTATTTATCCGTTTTTTTTTTTTTGGTTTTCAGGCTTGTCGTTCAATTGGCTAATAATGTCGCGCATAAGCGGGGGTTGGCATCTCTAGGTATCTCAGTTGACATGTACAGAAAAGGAGTGAGTTCCTGCCCTCTTTTACTGCAGTTTAGTTCGACAAGTTCTGTATGATAAATTATTGTATACTATTTTTTTGGTTGTATGCAATTTAGTTGGATGCATTTTTTTCTTATTTTCTTCAAGTAACTAGTCACAGTCCATTAATTGCATCATTGCATGAAATTAGAAAGGACAATTGTTAAAAGTAGTGGTAACTGTTGATATAGATATGTTGAAGCCCATGCTGGAGTTGTCCATTTTTTTTTCCCTTCAAATAAAAAAATGAAGACTCCCACTTTCCGCGAGAAAGATAAATACTGTAATGATGTGGGGAAAAAAAAACTTATGGACGAGACCTGCAGATTTGTTTCCCATTGTTTTGGAACCCCAGTCATTTGATTGATAACATGTGTTAACCTAGGACTCATTATCAAAAAAAAAAAAAAAAAAATGTGTTACCTAGGACATATTGGATCTGTTGCATGCATATTTCATTGTCTTCAAGTTGAGTGGGGGGGGGGGGGGGAATGAATTCTGAGAGGCTGTGTGAGATTAGTCACTAACCAATCATAAGGAAGTAGTCTTTGAATTGAAAATTAGTTTTTATTTTGGAGTGGGGTATGAAGACTTTAGTCAATGAATTCACCCTGAGGTTCTTGATGGATACCTTTGGTAGCCTTTTGCTTTGGCAAGCATGCGAAAACCTCGAGGCCCACTACTGGAGTGTGTTTGGAGTGGAGGAGGCCAGTTTCCAAGGGAACCAATTTATCAATATTTTAGCTGTAACAACTCTCATTCGGGCTAGATTGCTATGTTTTGCTGTTTCTGGTTGTTCGTTCCCTCAAATAGGGTTTAATTGAATCAAGAAATTAAGGAGAACAATGGGGGATAATTTGTACGGTTAGGAATTTTAAGAGAACATTCTTAGGGAGATTTTGTGGAGATTTGGCACACGGTTATCAAATGCGAGATGAGGACTCGACGCACTAGGGGGTCCGATGTGCTAGGAAGCTTGATGGGTTGCGATGACTGCATGTCACTTCCAAGTAATAATATTTTTTTTTAAATTATTACATATAGGAATATAAAGAATAATATGAAGATGTGACCTATTCATTAATAGGTATTTTAATTTAGTACTTGTCTCTAATATATTTGCCATTTGAGTTGCTGATAGCTTGATAAAGTGTAGCAGAGATTTTGGCAGTCACTAACATGTTAAATAAAGTAATCCATGCTATTCATTTTATTAAATAAAAAAAAAAAATGTACAAATCAAAAAAGGGGGCAGCCCACATGTCAGGTGCCCAATACATACTTCCCAAGGTGATCTACACAATCCCTCCTATTTTTACCAAAATAGTGGGTTTCAGAGGGGGTGAGAGAGAAAGGGCGTAATGCACAAAATGCAAGTGAAATCCTCCAAGGAGCAAAATGGTCGATCTAAGCTGCTACCCCATGCCTGTAGGGTCCCCAGCTCCCCTTCTTTGGCCAGCGTCAGCCACGTGGTTGGCATCCCTTTTGAGTGTGGCTGAATTCAATAGATGCTTGTAGGGGAACAAGATATGGTCAAAAGGTGCTCGAGTCTCCAAGAGTTGCCTAAGGGTACCTTTCTTGGCTAAGCTAATGAGGGGTTTGAGGGGGTACCCTATCTGCTGTAGTTGCATTAATGTGGAAAAAGTTCAAAATATATAGAAGGAATTAAAAAGTATGTCTCAAGAGCTGTCTATATACAAGTATCCTTAGTATAATGCTTAAAAAGCGACACGCTCAAGGTTCTCTAAGTAAAGCTTTTGTCTAAAAAGCTTTTGGCTGTAACCTTCCTTGAGAAGGCTTTTTATTTCTGTATTCTCGCTTTTTTTTTAACTTTGGAGTATCCATGGTGTGGATTGCCCATCTTTCTGATCAATTTAAGGTTAACATTATAAAAAAGCATCCAAATAATGTTTATCAAAAAAAAAAAGACATCCAAAGAATCCCAAATCGTATTGAAAAAAATCATCGGATTCAATAAGAATATTTGATCTGTAATTTCGACACTTATCCCATTGAATCATGAAAAATGGTTCGAAGGGGGTTTTAATTTCCATTATCATTATCATTATTCTTTTATTTTATTTTCGTGGGTGGGAGTTTTTAGGAGTCTGCCCCCTCCCCCCGCCCTCCCCACCCTTCTCTTTCTGGGGGAGAATGTCTGAAATACCTCTGCTCTTGGGCATTTTTCTGCTCACGAGCTGCCGCATTTGAAAACTACGATTTGGCATAGGGAGTCGCAAGTATCTCTTGGTTAGGTAAGTTATCCTAGAAATTACAACACTACCCACCTATTAAAAGAAAAAAGAACTTGTTTTTCCCTAATTTCCAAATTAACCTTTTTATGAATTTTATTACATGAGAATCCAAAATAGGCCTTGGGGAAGAACCTAGAGCATTTGGAATAGAATATTATTTTTTATTTTTATTTTTATTTTTGGGGGGGTGGGGAAGGGTGGTGGAGCTGTAGAGTGAAGTATGGTCATGACAGATATACCCGGTGATTGTTGCACTGGGAAGGTGTTATGTGAATTCTGGGGTGATCTAAGCAAAATTTGAGAAGGTGATCAGGTCAGGTACAAAAAGTGGGAGTGGATTTAATTTGGTTTATACGTGAGTGGATGCTCATTTCCTGGACTTGGACAGATTTGCTTCTTCTCTGCAGGTGTTGGTTTGGGACTTCTTGGTGAGGAGGCCTATTAGGATGGTTAGGTGCCTTTGCTTCAGAGGAAGCAGAGGACAAGGAGATCAGGAATAGTTGTTTGTAAGTTGGGTTTCTCAAAAGAGATCTGTCCCATTTAGAAGTTCTATGGTCATTGTTGCTGTATGCAATTGTTGGAAGGGTTATACACTTTAGAATATGTGCCCTCATTCTGCCCCAGACTATAGTGGGCCTAGGATCCTTTTGGTCTAATTGAATTGAGCTGTCTTAAATGTTGAAACTCATTTGGAAACCCATGCTATCTAGAGTAGGTGGCTGAATTAGAGAATAATGAGGGGGACGGTTTCAAGACATGCTTGAGATCCGTGCAGTCTTCCCTGCTTGCTTTATTAGAACTTAGAAGCAATTGCTCTATTGGTTTCAATGCCATCTTGCACTTCTCTTCACCCTGATTGTTGGCAGGTGACTTGGTCAATGCCATTATATATCCTGTAGGTGGTATTGAAATATTAATGAAATTTTTTATAGAAGGGATGATGAGTATATCTTCATTCCCATGGATTTGGGGATTCTAATTGTGATTCTATGATCTCAAATTTCTGAGGGAATTCTCCTTGACAAGGGTTTAATGCTCTAGGTTGCATCTCTAATGAAATTTGATGTGAAATTATTACTCTATTATTACTTATCAAACAAGGGATAAAGAAAGCAGAAATGAAAATAAAGAAATGCTCCCTTTCACATTTTTGAAATAGTTATGTATATTATTCTCATAATTTGGAAAAGTGAAGAATTGACTTTTATCAATGTTCATCGTAACGAACTTGGTGGCTGACTCGAGCACTGTTAACTGAGTAAACTCCTCTAGTCGTATAGTTAACTTTGAAAATCCCAGTGACTTTTTACATATTTTTGTATAAAAATGCAAAATCTGACTGCCTATATTACGAATAAAACCCAGATCTTCGGAGAGTTTATTTGTTTATTCTCTTGTGTTTGATGGATTAAAGGAAAACAAATATCTATATTGCAAATTGTTCCCCAACTCTTTACCTGATGCATACCATAGTACTAGTTTTCTACTATGTTAGGAGAGATATTATATTAGTTAAAATCAACATTAAAAGTATATATAGAGAACAATCTGGAGACATCTTGACTTCTTCATTTATAAAACTCTCCCACTGGTCAAGTAGAGTTGACATAGGTGAGTTTATCTCTCTTTTAGTTCTTATTTATCGCATTTTATATTTTGCAATAGCTGCATTGTAAAAATGTTGGTCTGCCTTGCTGGTTTCTTGAGGATTTACCAAATTAATTATTTCAAATAAATATCAGACACATTGCGATGATAAATACAGATATATTGGGACTTTCAACGAGCATGGGAAGTACAGTTTGATTGAGAATAGAAAATATGATGATTATGTTGGAGAATCAAGAGTCATAAAAATGTATGTAATATGGTTCACAATTAGGATGTAACAATTTTCAATAAATTAACTTGGAAAAAAACTTGAATTGGCCTCTCAAAATGCATGCGAGTAATTCATTGATTGGGGATCATTTGTGGTCAGATGAATATATTAGGGCATTCGAGACTTCAAAAGTCTCATATTTCGCTTGCTTTATGTTCCTTTAGGTGAACTTTCTTGCGCCAAAAGGATCAGCTCCAGAGGATTTGCAAGCAGGATTATCTATGCCTGGCAATGAAGTTGCAGACAAGGTTCACAATTTCTTTGAGCAGGACAATCTAGCCCCGCAGCAATCTTCAGTTGGAAGTGGTAACTGGTCGACTATAAATAACAATGTTTGGCTCAGTAACCAGCGGCATAATGGACCAACCCATTATTCCCATCAAAAGATGTATGGTATTCAGTCATCTGAAACTGGAAAAGGTATTGTCCATCCTCCTAAATGTTTTGTTGTGGCATAGATACATGAAGAATTTAATATTGTACTTTTATTTTTTTTATCCAAAATTTTGATGTTGTGATGCTGCATGGCAGCTTTAAGAAAGTAGGTGTTTATTATTATATGGAAAAAGTTTATATAAGGATGCAACCTTATAATGTAGAACTATGGATGCACCTCAAAAATTCATTGGACAAGGTAGTTTTTAATGTTGAAAAACCCTTTGATTGATCATCTCGACATT